CCATGTGTTTCACATAAAATTGTAATATTGTGCTACATGTATATAAAATTTTAATATTAAGTTCATGTTGCATTGAGTTGATGTTTATACTTTTTTAATTAATTCACAATTATATCAATTACAATATAATTATTGTTAATATAATTTTTTCTAATTCAATTTAATATTTTGTTACTATGCTATGTTACTTTTTGTTTTTTGTATTTGACTTAATCCATTCAGATTGCAATTCACGTAACATTTGTGGTGTTAAGAGTCCTTCTGCTATTAATCTTTCAGTCAATTTTCCTCTACTGATGTTACGTTTGCCAGTTTCAGGACCTGAAAGATATATTATTCAGGATTGAAACATTTCATGTTACCAACTTATAAATAAAAATATATTTTATATATGAGATATTCTATATATAAGAAATATATTACGTCTATAAAAGTTTTGCTTTTGTGTCTGCATCTCAAAACTGTCAGTCTCTCCACCTTAACAAAACAAAATTTATACATTAATGTATTATATATAACATAAGTGGATATAAAAAATTTGAATAAATTAATTATATATATATGTATATATGTGGTATTTTAAAATAGAATTATATGTACCTGCATCCGAGTGTAATAACAAAGTTGTTAATCTAACTACTCCTTCTTCAATAACTGCATCAAGTTCCTTTTGTATATCACGTACCATTCTAGCATCCGGAAATAGATCCATGAAACGATAACTATAAATATAAAACGAATATAAAACGTAATATAAAACGGAAAATAAGTGAAGAAGATAAAGTAAAAAAATATAAATATATATGTCATTATACCTCAACCATAAATAAAGATCTAATACATCAAAGATGCCTTCTAAATGAACAAGATCAAGGATAGTCTTTGGTGTTGCAAAAGGCCATCCTATATGTTGACACAACCAACTAAATGTTATTGCATCATTCTTACTATATTGACGTGCAAACTGAAAAAAAATACTTGCTATGAATACAAATATAATTTTACACTTTGAAAATAAAGCATATTTTAAATTAACATTAAAAATAAATTTTTTAATATTTTATTTTAACTATAATACTTACTTTCAGGAACATAGTACACACATATGGCAATTTTCTATTAATTGGTGCACAACAAAATACATATCTTGTACGGAGTGGCAGTGGAACATGTTGTATCATATCGGCTAAAAACTTAAAATCATCTAAGTTGCACATAAAATATAGAGAATCATCAACTGTGCACAATGATATAAAAATATCCTGAAATAGAAAGTGTCTTATAAACCATATATAATATTAACTGCATTATTTATAAATTCCTTATTGTTTCTGACATACTATTAGATTTGACAATGTTGAATTTGGTAAATGATAAGCATATAGCTCAATTTGGTCTGCTGTTGGATGAAGACCTGCTTGTGTTATTACTTCTGGTGTTTGCTTTAACAAATTCTTTAAAGTTGGTAGATCTTCTCGTTTAAAGGTCGTAACATATCCCTGTTATATGAAAATGTATTTTAATTAATAAAATTTCTTTTATGTTATGTATAAAATCAATAGAAACAAACTAGATTATGCCTACTGTATCCCAAGCTGTACCATAACGTCCAGCACGGCCTGCGATTTGCAAAGCTGCTGACACAGATAGAATGTCCATTTCTTTTTCACCTTTTTCATTGTATGTTGGTTGAATCAATGAATAAAATATAATTCTTCGAATGTGCCTATAAAAATATTTGATTTGAACTTAACATCACTTGGAACTTTAAAGTAGAAAGCTATATATATATAGTTACAGTTTTAAATTTAACATGACATAAGACACATATGAAACTTACAAATTCAAACCCATTCCAATTGCATTAGTTGCTACTAGGACTTTACATGAATTTTTAGGATCGTTAAATTTCGCAGCTTGTGCCAGCTTGGTACCTGGTGGCAAGCTTCCATATATTACTGCCACTTCTGTTCCTCTACTTTCAAGAGAACGTGATACAGTGAATATATCATTTTTACTAAAACAAACTATACAATCTCCCGGTTTAATATTGATCAAAGAACCAAGAGCTTCGTTTTCTATCTCCAGATTTGTTAATCGCTTATATCTGCGAACTTCCACATTTTCACCTGCAGAAAAGCATATAGCTTTTACCTACATAAACATATAAGTTTAGTTAACAAATCTATTATTTTATGTTTTGAACATAATTTTATGTATAATTGTAGAATATAAGTATGAAAGATATACCAAATCTATAGCAGCAGCTTCACCACATAAATGTATTTCATCTGCAGGAATTCCCAGAAGAGCTCTCGTCCATGCCCAACCTCTACTAAGATCACGCATCAATTGAATTTCATCAATTACAGCTACTTCATCTATGATAAAACAATTGTATCAATACTATTTTCTTATATAAATGCTTTCAAAGTTATGAAATATAACTGTGACACTTACAATTACTATTTAGATTTACCATTTCTACAGAACAGGATAAATGATTTGCCGCATTATCAGCACCTTTAATATATTTTCGTTCCTCTCCAGTTAATAAATCACATGGTGTTCCCTGAAATAATATAAATATATAAATATTACTATAGTCCATTATATTGATATGACAAATATAATTAGAAAAATAAAATTGCAATTGATATCAACCCTTTCATTACACTTATGATATACTTCTGCAACCAATAACTTCAAAGGTGCACAATACACTCCACTTTTTGCATTAATAAATCTTTCTAAAGCATGATAAGTTTTCCCACTATTTGTCGGCCCAGCATGAAAGATTATTTTCCTATTTTTTGCTCTTGCTAAAGGATACCTGAAAATATAACAAAATTATAATTTATTAAAGATTTTTTTCCTTATTTCTTTTGATACATTATATATATACAGAGTGTCCCATTTTAAAAGTTCCACCCTCATAACTTTTTTAATTTTGATTGTAGAAAAAAATGTTTCAGACAAAAGTTGTATGGCTTGAAGGGGGACATAAGATGGTGTCATTAGTTTGACATTGAAGAATCACCTGAAAGTCACATCCAACTTTTTAAATGGGACACCCACCTATATGCTTTTGCATATTCTTATAGTTCATTTTGAGAGCTTTCCAAAACACTATAATTAAGTTAGTTTTCATTAAGTACTTTCCGAATTATGAGGATTAAGATCATTTCTTAATTTTACATAAACCGTAAAATATCTAGTAAAATATTCATTTTTCGATTACCCTACCTTAATACTTTTATATACAAAATAATGAAAGGAATCAATTGGTGTAAAGAAAACACATAATTGTTTCGAAGAAAAAATATGGAATTGTTAATTGCAAATTATATATTTTTTCTATATATATATATATTGAGATATAAGAATAATAATAATAATGAATAATAATCCTACTAAGTGTATGTAAATTTGTTGTTCCTTACCAGGTCGCAGGACTTCGTAGATCACCAATTTTTTTGAGATCGTCTAAACAATCAAGATGTGGAAACATTTGTTTCGCATGTCGTAGAAAATATGGAAAAAGATCAGTGACATTTCCAGCACCTTGCAAAATATCACTCAGTACTATATGAAGATCTGCAGGTAATGATTCTGTTGCTATACAATATTGTCTAAAATTTGTAAACGCCTGTCCTTGGAGATAACCTAAAATCAATATCATAGTTAGAATGTCTATACTTAATCAATATATGTATCAATTTATTATCTATATACATTGATTGCAGCTGCTATAGAACAGTTTTCTGTGAAAAACAATACTCTATTCTCTAATATTTGTTAATTAGTATATATATTTTAATACATACTATCTAATCCATTTTGCCGAGCCAATTCTTTGATTTCTGCCTTTTGTGTAAAGGCATTCAATATTCTCAAAAGATCTGTCTTCTTTATTAAAGATCCAGTCAATTCAGCACCAATGTTTATGTCATCTGGAGTTGGTTTGATAGGCACAGGATGAAAAAGAGACTCTGGCGAATGTGAACTGTCATCTTTTTTGCCTCTGTATGACTGAACACAGCTTGTGCCGAGAACTGTGGATCTATATAATAAAAGAAATGAAATAAAATATGGATTAAAATAATAGATAAAGTATGAATCAAAATATTCCTAAAAATATTCCCAATATCAGTTTGTATCGAAATCATTTAAGAAAAGGAGGTAAGGAAAGATAATAAAAGACAGATATAAATTATTTCTATATAAATATATATAAATATACTAATTATACCTGCGTGTAAATGTTACCGCCGATAAGATGCTTCTTCGCATTAGCTGTTCCGACATACTACATTTCGTAAGCATCATCTTTCATCATAAACAATTTATCAAAACACAGTAGGAAACGTGGAAATACACAATTCGCGCATTCCATGAGATTTTTGAGGTTAAACATGTGCGATCTTACCGATCATGGGTTTGTTCTTTTTAGTTGCACTGCTGCACTAGTGCAGTAAGTTGGAAAGAGACAAACATACTTTCTTTCACTCTAACTAATTGCACTAGTGCAATAGTGCAGCTAAAAAGAACAGGTCCCATTATAGCAATGTGTTCGGAAATCTTACTCGTGGAATAGAATAGCATTTAGTAGAGAACCTCTAGGAGAGAGAATGGACAACTGATCATGTGACATGTGATCAAGTTTTTCGTGATTGGCTGGCAGAAAATGTATCAATTTTAGCTATTGCGACGCCAATGCAAAATATGATGCACACAAATAGGTTAATATATGTGTGTCATGTGTGTCCTATTTGTGTATCATCATATTTTGCATTGGCGTCGCAATAGCTAAAATTGATACATTTTCTGCCAGCCAATCATGAAAAAGCTTGATCAGTTGTCCATTCTCTCTCCTAGAGGTTCTCTAGCATTTAGGCTATGGTCGGGAAGACGCTTTAGATGCTTTAAAGCATTTGATTGACCAATCAGGTTAAAGAAATTTTTATTTCTTTTATCCTGATTGGTCAGTCAAATGCTTCAAAGCATCTAGAGCGTCTTCCCGATGCAGCGTTTCTATCAATTAATCAAGGAAAAAAGTAAAGATTTCTTTGTTTTAATTAGTTTTGGTCAATTAAATGTTATTTTATTTATATATATTTATTTATATATATATTTATATATATTATTTATTTATATATATATATTTTTTATTTATATATATATATATATATATAATATTCTTTTGTGTGTAATGACATATTAAGCAAATGAAATTATTTGTATGTAAACATAAAGTTGTATATACGTACAAAACAGAATTTAAAGTTTCTCTCTCTTTCTTTTCATATCTCTCTCTCTCTCTCTCTCTCTCTCTCTCTCTATATATATATATATATATATATATATATATATATATATAGAGAGAGAGAGAGAGAGAGAGAGAGAGAGAGATGAAAAGAAAGAGAGAGAAACTTTAAATTCTGTTTTGTATGTATATACAACTTTATGTTTATATACAAATAATTTCATTTGTCTTAATATGTCATTACATACAAAAGAATATTAAAGTATGTTTAAAAAAAAAAAGACAATTTTTTTCTATTAAATTAACAATAATTTACTGTAAAAATAAATATGTGCTTTTCTTGATAAGCAATGTGTAAGTGATACAATGTTAATATAAGTGATATATACATGCAATTTAATCTTGGTATAAAAAAAAATATCTATACTTTAAATAGAACCTATGAAACGATCATTCAATTAATATTTCTACAGTTTGTACTTCTCATAAATTTCACAAGTTGAAATATGTTAAGCAAGATGATATCCCAACAAGATCAAAAATTCAACAACTTCTGGGTACTTCGTTGGCACAAATTCTCTTCGACTATAGTCATCATGAGATGATAAAAATGTTAGACCCGACACGGTTACAACAATCATGTTACAAAGTACAGAATGATCAATTAAAAAGGGATATCATTCAAATGATCTCAGAAAAACAGGACATTCTTAAATCTAATATACATTATGACATTTTAGGTAAGATTTTATGAATATAGGAAATCAATTCTTTCACATATATATTGCATATGTTTATTAATAAGTTATATAAATTTTTCTCTCAGCATTGGGCGAAGAAGAATTGAAAAAATTTCAAACAGAAATTGAAGCGTTGACACAAAGCAAACTGAGGAATGAGTTTGCTGAGATATGTTGTATGCTTGAAGCTGAAAAAAGATTTGCCATTAGATGCAACGCGGATGAGATTCATGGTAGATACGAAGAGTATTTCAAGTCCACTCAACAGGAATTGGAAGAACAATTACAAGTACATAAATAGTACAATTAATTATTCTTTGATTAATATATATATATATATATATATATATATATATATATATATATTGACAATATAATATATTGATTGACATAAACAAATTAAAAAAATATATATCTAAGGCATAGTTAATATAATACAACAAGTGATGATTAATATAAAATTGTAATAGATTGAGTCGGCAGATGTGAATGCTAAACATAAGAAAGAATTGCAGAAAATTGCTGTAAAAACACGAATAGATACAACGCACGATGTGCTAAAAAAGTTGCGGCCCCAGATATATTATATTATAAAGTCTCTTTATGATGATCTTGAATTATCTTATCATGCACAGAGAGAAAAAATAATTGCTGACTTCAATAAAATCATGAGGTATTCTAATATATGTTTTGCAAGTTTTAAAAAGTTTTCCTGCATTATCATCAAATGTAAGTTATTAAATTTGACATTTTTATATACGCAAAGAAAACAACAACACAAATTGGATATGAGAATTAAAGACATAGAAAAGAAGAAAATGCAAGAATTGCATATTCAACATTATGAACTTAAAATACAAAATGTAATGAATATTATTTATGTTCTTTGCATGGAAAGATTACGTAGTAGTTTTCAAATGCATGCAGTACATAAACATTGTGAGGTAAATGTACATATACATTATATTTTTGATATATATGTATACAACTTATTTTTTTATATTTGTAAGTATTGTAATGTATTTCACATTTAAATATTTAAACTAAAATTTTTTAAAATTATAGATATTTAAAATATTTTGCATACACATACTATACATTCCTATAAATATTTACTGTAAATATTTAAATACAGGAAAAAGTAAAATCCTTGTATGAACTTATTGCTAAACAAGATGATACTATAAAAACAATGAAGAAAAGAATTACAAAATACCACGACAAGAATATAATGCTCCAAGAGAAAATTATTGCTATTACTAAAGAATATCAAAAATTTATAAATTTTGCATTTGATGCCATGCCAGAACATGCTGACTTTTTATTGCCATTAGACTTATTTTCTATAAATAAAAAAGATAGTAAGCGAGAAAAAAGATAGAAAAAAGATATAAAAAAGATATAAATTAAGATCTTTTAGAAAATTTTAATTGCAATAAAGAATTATGTCGAGAAAAAAAGAAAATATAGAAAAAGTTTAAATTTAGTGCTTACAAAAATACACCGAATGTTATAAGGACAAGAATATATTTTTTTATAAACATTGTAGTTATGTACATCAAAACATATAATACAGAAGAATATGTACAAAAAGTAGTATCAAAATATTTATCTCTCTCTCTAATCGTACTCTAATAATATATGATATGGAGATATCCATATAATTCTCTTTACACAAGAATTTCAAATTAATAATTAATGTGTCAACAATTCATTGAAATTTCTTGCATTCTTTATCTGACAACCGCGATGCCATCCTGGATTTCGATGTAGATTAAATGTTTTGCGTTGATAAAATTGTGTCAACATAATAGATCTCAAGCCTACTTTACTAAGTGGGACAGAAGGATAATCATCAAGACGCCATCCATATATCCAATTCACACAATCGGGGAAATAGAAACGCTTCTCCGGAGGTTCTTTATATCTAAAATTTTTAAAAACATTTTGTAAATCAATCAAGTTTTCAAGTAAAAGAATATTATGCGTTACGTTAGGCGCTACCTTTCAATCAAATAATTATCAGTAGTAATAAAAGTTGATACTCCTTTCTGATAAAGCAAGTTTCTTATATCAGGATCTATCGGTTTCATGGTATCTATATTGATAGAATCATCAGATCGAGGTGGCCTCCAAAGGGGTAAGGGCTTGCGTTGCGCCTATTTATGTATATAAAATTTAAAAGAGATGAGTATTATGAATCAATAGATATTAAACTTTTTACGCACAATCGGTTCATCAACGCGAATTTTTGCTCGTTTTTCAGACGCAATTATTTCTCTGGCTCGTTTTGTGAATTTCGGATCTTTCAAATGACTTATTAATCGTTGTTGATTCTTTAAAAACCATTTCATTCGTATCGCATTTTCCTTTCTTATTATTTCATTATAAAATAATTGACAACGATTATCGCATACATTGCCAGAAATTCTTGCCATATTTCTCTTGTACAATTTACATACTATTTTAAGCTTATACGAGTAAAAATCAATAATTACAAATAATTTATATAGACATCAGAAAGTATTTTAATAAAAATAGCTCTGAAGTAAGATTTTAAAAATTACTATCCTCAAATGTTTTATCCTTTCTTTCATAAAAAGATAAGGCGCAACAAATTAAATATAATACATTGCAATTCTTTGTAGAGTGATTTATTTACATTATTATACGCGTTATAATACGTTTTACTGTGTTACATAAATTCAGTATGTACTTAATATATGTACTATATTTTATATATATATGTATATATATATATATATATATATATATATATATATATAATTTCTTTATAATACCAGTGGGAGCATATATATTCAACTATGTACAATTCTTGTTTCTGAAAAAAATAAAATTTAGGAGAAAAATTTAAAGTCGATCAATTCAACATAATATGTAGATATTTATAATATATAATTATTTTCATATGTTTTATATGTTAATATTTCAAAAACAAATTAGGAAAAACGCTGTATTATGTACAGTATCCGTATTCTATGATATACCTGAGAAATAAGCATTTATTTGAAATCAAATAAAAACAATTTCCAGATAAATGTTCAATATAAAATTTAGCAGATTTATTATATAATGAAAATTATAAATAAAGGATTAAACATATCAATAAATTTAATAGAGCACCCTATCTGTGAAATGATTGTATAATTAAATTAATATGCAAAGTATGCGCATATGTATGTAAATAAGTGCATGGATCGAATGAAAAATTAGCTGCAAAACAAGGAATTTTTGCAATTTTGCTATTAGTTATAATTTAAATAAATGATATTTTTATAAAGTTACTTTTAATTAGCTGCTACTCTTTTTTACATATATATTGATTTTTTACATATATGAGAATACTATGCTCCAACATCTAAACGATTTATCCAGTAACGATGCATGGTACATATATATATATAAAATTGTAACAATAAATAAATGGCGTGAAATATGAGTTTTACATGATATTACTCCCTCTTAAAGTCAACATCAAATGACTCAGTAATCACAGCCATAGGAAGCAATATTGTATGTGATATATATATTATATATATATATATATATATATATATATATATATATATATATAATGGTTTAGATACATAGTTTATTTTTATATTATACAAAGTGACTAAGGAGCATTTTATCATTTGTACTTGAATAATCAAGAGGAATCGCGTATTTGTACAAATAATTTTATTTCTTCTACACTGGTTTATTTTTCTTTTTTTATACTGTACATATATGTAATATTATATAATTTTATCTACAATCTTCTATAAAATAATTACTTTACATCGCATTTGATTCCTCTAAGCTTTAGGGTAACCAATCATGTCCTATATTAATTTAACTCTTTCACTCCAATGCATATTTGTATCTACAGTCTGAATATAAAGTTACGTCGTTTCGATATCAATTCATTTAGTCTCAATAATTTTTGAATATTGAATATCGAATGATTTTGTATTGTTAATAATGAATATGAGTTATTTAATTTTGCGTATTTATATTTGCGAAATTAAAAGCTCGCATTAATTGTAATTATGCGCAATTAATTATGCTCTAAAGTATAATTTATTATCGACAGAATTTTTGCATGCATCCCACTGTTTTCTTAATTTACTTAATGATATAATATTGAATAATGGACTGCAATCTAATTATTCTATTCTATTTTCACTATTCAAGTGGAGTATATCTTTTTTTTTTTAAAAACATTTGATTTCTCTATTGCAAAATGCTACAAAATGCAACTATATGATTCAACATATTAAACAAATTAACAAAGTGTATTCAAATTTACTTGCATAAACTAAATATATATAAATTAGATATTAGATTGTAAACAGCATATATAAATTTGTTTATAAATATATACGTATAAATATATAATTAATACGTAAATTACAGAAGACAAATAATACATATATATTTTTAAAAAATTAATATATATTATATTTTACTGAATAACATTAATACTCCATATGAACAGTGTAATCGATAATGACATTTTATTTCAATTAAATAATTAATAATTAAATAAGTAATAATCAAATTTTAATCTCTGATTATTTACGATATCTTATGATATATTAAATTGTATATCAACATAAGAAGTTACATACATACATATATGTATATATATATAAACATAATTATATATAATTTCATGCATTATAGGATATATAATATATAATTATAATTTAATTAAATTATTAATAAATAGGATATTTTATATATATACATACAGAATGATTCTGAACAAACATTTGTCTTTAAATACGCGATGTAACAATCAGTGTGTGTGTGTGTGCGTGCACATTCTCACACAAACACTGATTGCTACACTCATCGCGTGTAACAATCAACTGATCGCGGCGAGCGTCCCACGTAATCGCCTATATCGAGCCATTCCTGCCTATCTCTCGTACTCGTTCCGTAATTAGTTCACCATTTTCCTTTATAATTTAAAAACTAAGCTCCGGGCAAAATTTTGCAAGAGAAAAAATCGTCTTAGAATTCATTCAAGAATTTGATATTTTAAAGACAAATGTTTGTTCAGAATCACTCTGTGTGTGTATATATAGGATTTATAATATATAATTTAATATATCATATATCATAAATTTAATAATCGAGACTGAAACTTGATTATTGAATTATTTAAATAGATTTTAAAGGGGTCATTTACACATAAGCCAGTGTTTTGTCAAGATTGATTAATGATTATTTCATGATTCCCAATTTAATGTACAGCGAATGAACAAAGCTGTTTTATATAATTATTGTGTAAAGTAGAGCAATATTTTCATATTGATTCCATATATAAAAGAAATAAAAAAAAAAAAAAAATATATATATATATATATATATATATATATATATATATATATTATAAACATAAGATATATAATAATATAAAAGATAAAGAAATATTTTTTTATCTTGCACTTGCAACCTTTTAAAAATTATCATTTTCATTCTATAATCAAAGGAATCAAGAAATAAAATAAAAAAGCTACATTATTAACGCCATTGTACGAAGTAATCATTTTGTGCAGTCATTCAATAAGTTTATTGGCATATATTAACTTAATATATGCCCACATTCAATGCTTTTGCGCAATATTGTCTTTTTCTAGCATCATATTTATTTCTCTTCGCGACTTTTATTCGTTTATAAAAATGCTGCTGTAACGATGTAAAAATTAAAATATCAATCAACAAAATATCTTTGTCAAATATCTTTGTTATTCATTGTTACATTCTTATAAAGAAAAAAATTTCTATTATCAACTTTTTCGGGTAGTGAAAGAGCTTTCTCTATTTTTTAATCGACCAATAGTGTGATTTGTCTTACATATCTAACTCGTAGTCACTTTAAGTAATACAGGTGATGAAGCATGGTTGTTAAAGTACAGACCTGTTCCTTGAAAGCTGTTGGATCTCGATGTCGGATTTTGATTAATTCCAGTCATACCACTGTCGGTCTCGGAATCACTGTACTCGTCATTTTGCTTGTTATGTAACACGTATTTGAATGATTCGTATCTGTTGCGCGAATTAAAAATTAATATTATGCGATTCGACGATGAAAAAGCTAATGAAAGTTATACAATTTCAAGAAGAAAAAATAAGGTGCAACAAAATTGACTTACATCACCCAACAAATGGCAGTAGCTGGTGCTTGGAATAAAACACGTGCGCGTAATCCACGAAAGTATCCTTTTATACCGCCATGCCTGTAGACTTGTCTAAATGCATCCATCATACCCTGAGCATGTACGCCGTCTTGCTGAGTATTCAACACTGTCTTGCAAACGTCTAGAGGAGTTGTCGCTGCAGCCGCGATCGCACCTGCTGCCGCACCTGATTACATACATATATAAAATGATATTAATGATAAAGATAGAACTGACAATTTATATTACAAATAATTGATAAACTCACCAGATGCTATGTGTGCTACTGGATTGTAACCATGATCCGGATTTGTAATGGATTGTACAAATTCATATGAAATAAAATGAATACTTTGAAAAGGCACATTCATAGCCAATTGAGTTGTGTAACTTCTGTAGAATGCAAATATCCCTTCTTTCTGATACACATGCTGTACACAACTCCATACATCTCTATAGGGAGACTTATACATCTGTAGTCGCTGTTTTACAACTGTAACAAAATAATATATATAATATATATATCAACACAATTATAACAATATAATATAATATAATATTACATATATATATTACATATATATATATTACATATATATATTATATTCGTCTATTTTTTGAGAAATTAACTTTTTTAAAAATTGAATTTCTTTAGATTATTAAATATATTTTTAAATATAAGAATGTTTTAAAAATCTATATCTTATATGTATCTTTTATTAAGCATGGAATAGTGTCACATAATAGTGTATGTATGTGTGTGAAAGTTATCAATAATATTTAACTTCTAAATGATTAGATAATAAGAATCTTGATTTCTCTTGGATAATACTAATGGATAAATAATACTAATTAAAATATTTAAATTATAAATTATAACTTTATAATAATATCATGAAATTAACTCTCTATTTATAATGATATAATATTCATTCAATTTAAATAAAATATGTGATATATTATCAAATTAGTTTAATATATTATTATAGCTAACCTTCTGCTGGATTCATGACACCATCATGTAAAATTGTTGCTACGCAACCAGCTGCACCATAGACAAGATGATTAAATTGGGACCTCGTACTCTTGAATTTTTCTTTAAGACACTCATAACAAGAAAAATATAAAGCATGTGCAGGTCCAGCTCCGGCAACTACTGCACTCACACCTCTAATTGGCCTGAATATACCTTCTTGTTTCATCATTTTGTACAATACTTGCCCTACTTTTGTTCCTCCTCCTGGACCGGGAATTAACGCCTGCATTCTTGTCTAGACACATAAAAGAAAAAGATTATCAATTGTGAAATTAATAATGAGTTATTTCATAGATCTGATATGTTCTGTATTTTATTTATTTTATGTATTTGATTTTGGTTTTACAATACAATACAATATAATATTGTAACTACTTGCAATACTTTTCTATGCTATTTTAAAATTATTATTACCAAGGCATTTTGAAATTAGAATAACTTGCTGATAGTAACAATAGTGACTATCAACTGATTCATTGTAAAAAAAAACATATGGCATAATAATCACTCTTTATCTATGAGAATAAATGCAGATTATCAATTGACAGCTGCATGTGGAAAATAGAAATGAACATATAAAACTTAATTCAAATATTAGAAAATATAATTTTCTAACATATTATTTTCAATCCAATATTAATCTGTTTTACATAACATTATAGCAAAATGAACATGTCTCTATATCATTGGATAATTCCATTTGCAAAATGAGTAAAATCAAGGCATATTATTTAGGCAGGCAAGCATGTATTGATAGTATAAATAGTTTGAAAAGGAGATCAGAAATAGAACCCCTGCAATAAGACTGACGAACTGTGTTATATAATGAATAGTATACAATTGCATTCTGAGTAAAAACATGGTATAATATATTATTTGCAATATGCAACTCATCTCTTCATGTTTTACCTCTACCAACTGACTGGTACTGAGTGACTATTGTCTTAATCATCATATATGCTCCATGTATGATAACATTTTGCACTATTATAGTATCAAACAAGTCATATAATGTCCAATGTATAAATATGAAATCATTCAACAAATATTCAATTCATACACACAAATGCATGGTTCTATCAGTTCTAACGCTTAACAAACAAAAAGGAACTTTTGTCAATATATTACATATTTAAATTTGAAAATTAAACGAACTTGTCATATATAATAAGAAAAAATATATATTAAAGACATCATAAGAACATATTATAAAAACAAAGTAAATCTCCGCATATATTTTTGTACTTAAAAAATATGTATAAATATAAAGATAACGTCTAAAAATACCTTTTTAAATTCTTTTTAAATATGTGACATAAAAATAAGAATGATTAAAATAAACTTCATAAATATGTAAACGGAACGTATATATAATGGTATGTATTACATCTATTGTGTCATTCAATTCTAGGTTACTAAAACGAAGGTAAAATAAAAATATTTCTTTTTCTTATGTCACATATAAATCCTAAATGATCAAATCTCATTATATAACATTACATACTATTTATAATAATTATGTATAATTGTACATTGCATATTGCATGTGAGAGACAATATGACTATAAATATTCATATTAATAAAAAATATGACATAGTAGAGATATATACGTAAATCTCAATCTCTAACCTGACATCCTGTAAAATCGAATAACTTTTGTTCGTTCAAAATCCAAAAATGTCAGCAATATAGGTATCACTATTATCCATAGTTGTCTCACGATAATTATTACCATCATGATTTTTGTGATACAAATCCCCCTATCTCCCTATCTAACGCTAGTTTATTCGCGATAGATAAGTCGCGGTTGATAAAGATATCTAGCACCAAATAGATGTAAATTCCAGGAAAGCAGGAGGAAAATACGGTGACAAGGCAGATTATGATTTTTCTAGGAAAACGAATCGCGCGGGAATCCCGCGGGGCTCGCGACGTCGAGCACGTTCGGACGATCGAGCGTCACGACGAACACTGCCACCGGGTGACAGTGTTGAGGTTATGTAAGAGAGAGAAAAGAAGAAACGTGCGCGGTGTGACCGCCGCCGAGACGTATACCTTGACGCTGTCAAACGGGTACATGATGCAATGCTCCATGATCCCGGCCACGGCACCGGCTGTCATGTGCACGGCCACCGAATTGGTCGGCAGGCTCTCGTAGTCGTCCTTATCCATGATCGCGAGGAAGGAGAGTTACTCGCTCGTTAAGCGCACTCCAATCCGTCGCCACGATATTTTCTTCTCGCGTTCCTGCCTTTCTCTCTCCTCCTCTTCCTTTTTCTACTTCGTGCCGCCCCACTGGCCGCCAAACACGTTGCGTCGTCGATACGGCGTTCGATACTCGTATAATCGTTCGTCACGAGGACACCGATGAGGTAACGAACGCCTCGCGTTAACGAATCGTACGGAATGGAATACACGGCAAGTACGCATGTATTAAGCGCGCGCTAACATGTGACCGCGTGCGTCGATCGTTTCTTAATGGGGCTGCACCGGAGTAAAGTAAGGCTCGGTGGTCACCCGTTTCTCCCCCACTGCCGCCGATAACCCCCCTTTCTTCTGCCGCTACGTTCGTTCGTTCGCGAAAATTTCGCCTAGTCGCGAAAATTACGCGCGCACAGTATCCGCGTTTGATTGTTCAAAATACGCTCGGAATCACATCTGATATTCGACGGTAACGATCTCGGGGATACGACGTTCGCGGATCGGTCGCGAAGAGTGGTTAGCGAGGTTAGGCTCGGATGCACGTGGCGCGCATGCGTCGTGCGCGACCACGTGGTTCGTGCGTGCGTCCGCGAGACGAGAACGCTTTAAAGTACTTCCGACGAATGTTGAGTGCACGGAATGCCGAATGAGTATGTACGTACATCTTAGTCGTCGACAATAACGATGACGAGACGATAATAATTTCCCGGATGAGAGAGAGATCGCGCGCGGTAAGTCATCGCGAATGCATATCTCGGCGATCTCGTGACGATTACGAAACTTTGCGGTTACTCGGCGTTTTTCTCCCGTAGATTTCTCTTTCGTTTTACTCGCATTTCCTCGACAATTTTTACACAAGGCAATTATTTATGCATAAATATCCGTCTGAAAATACTTGTTCGTTTCAACTTTGCACACGGAAAAGCAGAGTACTTCAGAAGATAGAATTTTACTGCGTCATAGTTTTTTCATTTAGTTCCACGTTATCGTAAAAAAAAATGTATTAAATTAATGCAGAAAGTTATAGCCAAACCGAATTTGCATTGCCTTTCAACCGAATCTCTAGCCTTCACGAAAGCTTGTACGTCACAATACACATACGCAGCATATTCATGCTTGTTATTGAATGCATGAAAAAGTGAAAGGTTCGTCTTAGGAACTTCTTGTCAACTCCAAATCAATCTCATGTTATCCAAAACATGAACTGTTGCCCATTATTGCGCAAAGAAATAAAATTTCGTTGTGCGAAATTTTTTTTGTGCACAGTGATAAAATAAACAGAAAATATATTCTTGTATATGCCTTACTTATATAAATTATATTTTATCGCACTGTAGCATATAATGTCGGTATTTTATACATTTTCTCTTTTTTTTCAACATAATAAATAAGGCTTTTAAGACGCAAAGAAAATAAATCAATTAATCAAACTTTGGAAAAAAATTCTGAAAAATTGAAGATGAGATAGCTCACTCATTAGCAAAATTTGATTCGCAAACATTTTTATCAGTATGCAAGGTTTCGTTTTACATTTATCTTCTGATACGCACATCTATAAACAATAGTCCGTAAAATTTTAATTATGCCACAGAGATTATTCATAGTCAGAAACGCAACATCAAAAAACGATAACAAATTGTTTTAACAAATATTAGATAAAAAAATTTCTTTTGGAATTAATTAAAAATATGTTTTTAAAAAATAAGCTATTACTATAGCAGTTAAAAGCAAAAGTTTTTATCTTTTTTCTACAAAAAGAAAAATAAATTCTGCAGAATTTAATATCATATCATTTTTATGCATCTATTATTAAATAAATTCGTCTGTAATAAATGTTTTAAAATTCTACCGAGAGAGCGATTAATTATTTTATAAATGTCACCATAGAGAAGCGTGTTGATGCAATATCTGAATATTGTATTGTTTCATGTCATCTCATGAATCTTTTATCACGTTTTTTATGTGCGTAAAACGAAAAAAAATATGCACGTGCAATGTCATGGTGCGCCACGCACAGGTTTTTTTTATTATTTAAACATTGGAATGTATGTACAGACAATGGTCAACGTTATGTAAGCGGAAGAGATCATGCGTTATTACACGAGAGTATTAAATTCATCGATAGGTAACCGATCTATTCACGAGAAGCGAGATTTATGCGAAACAAGATTGATTGATTGTCATAAACCTCTCCTTGAAACGACAATATATCAAATTTCAATTTGCAAATATTATATTTTAATAATATATACACACACAAGTGCGTATGTTGTTGCACATTATGCGATTTACGCGCAGTAAAGCACTTCTAATCGCAGCAGACGAGTCGGCAGAGCTAAGTGACAAGGTCGCCCGACGATGCAATTATGTGGCTATTTCGTGCACAGAAAATAAACAAGCATGAATCGGCAGAGAATGCAAGTTTCTAATATGTCGGCAGAGCAATCTATTGCATCTAATCGCTGTAATCTTTGCATATAGTCGCAATGACCTTGATCGTTTATTGGACTCAACGTTTGGAAGCTGGACCGAACCGACGTCGCGTCTCGTCCAGCGGCTGCCGATTATAACGAAAGAGATATGGAATGTCTTTGAACTTATATACGTCTCTGAAATCAATAATATTGATGTACAGACAATGTATTATTAATCTCAGAAAAGCATATGTATTATTGATGTCGGAGAGAGAAGCGTAATATATATTATTTATAATATTGAATGTTTAAACTTTGATTTACGTGCACAGGAATATGCGTTATACAAAAATTGTAGATCCTTTCAAGTGTTAAAATCGAACAATTTGTATTCAGTATGTATTTGGAAGATATTTTTGAAGTCAATTAGATGTATAAAATTTCAATTTGCGTCAGTAAAGTCGTCACTCTTTCTACTTTGAAATGCTTAGAATGTTAATTTCTCTAACTAAATTTGTTAATGAGGCATAATTACAGGATGTAGAACGATGGATGAAGGTATTAGTACATAGTGTTAATTAATAAATATATAAAAACTCGCTTTATATTTGAAAGCGATTTTAATACTTAGCGAAAATTTATAAACCTTAGTATTGCTATATACGCAGCTATGATAAGTAAAGATTAAAGATATAAAAAAGTTATATTTTACGAGATATTTTCCTATTGAAATATAAAATACAACTGATTTCTTTCTATATACACGTGTTTATATACAGTTATTTGATATCACGTAGTTACCGACAGAAACAAGAATACAATTCTCAAAGGAGATCTAAAAATATGTATGATGCAACATCGCAATATTATGCTTAGTTTTCATTATCACTAAATATCTATATTGTAAATATTGAAAATTATAGAATTTATTAGATTTTAGTTATTATTATTTCATCATTTTTTTGTCTATATATTTCAAAAGATAAATGTTATAAAGCGATTATACACATATATATCTTTTAAAATATTCAAACAACAAAATAATAAATAATAATAATTATGTATATATGTAGAATGTTAAAAAATTAGACAGAAAATCTAAAGAGAAATAGAAGATTTCAAAATAAAAACATTTTTTTTTACAGCGATTTTATTTTAATATTACGTGATATAAAATAAAAATGTCGTGATTTTAACAATAAACACAAACATTAGTGAAAAAATCAAATTATATTTTATTTTGAAAACGGAATGAATATACGAAAATAATTCACTCTTTTTAATAAATTTTAATAAATCTTAAAAAATTCTTCCATTAACTTCAATATAAAAATGAGATCGAAATATCTGAAGTTATCTCCCTTCAATGTTTATCAGTCTAATATTTTAACATTTTGTATAAATAACAATAGAAAAAAAATATAAAGATTATTAGAGAAAATTACTAATTTTCTAACACGTTGAAATAAATCGAATTAAATCTTAAATTGTAAGATTACATTTTATATCATATTTATATAATGTATTTTTTATCTTATCAATGTGATTTTCATGCTATTTTAATTACATGTTTATCGGAGAAACGTGAGAATATTTCTGAGAATGAATTGTCAATTTATTTGTAGAGTATAAAAGAGTATGAATATATATAAAAATTAGTATTTTTTTGTCAGAACTAGCAATATAGTATACTATATAAATGGAAGAAAGCTTTAAAAATTACAGTCTTATAAATATATATTGTATGTTTTTCTTGCACATAATAATATACATAAAAGTAATAAAAAAATGATTCACACATTGTTATAATTAGGAACTTGTAATGTGTGTTGAATTAGATATATATATATTAGATATTTTAATATTATTCCAATAAATGAGGGTCTATATTGTGAATTAGAAAAAAAAGATTTTTCAAGATTTTACACACATAGAAAATTGAATATTGTTTGAATATTTCTGTCAATTTCAGAAAACTGGTAGAGAGAGATAGGATTATTGGTAAACTTGTGTAAACTTTACAATATTAATAATTTTGTGACTGTGATGTGATTCAATTTATGGGCATTCATACATGTTAATCAGACTTGTACAAACTTCATAATATTAATAATTTTGTGATTTAATTTATAGGCATTCATACATATATATGTACATACATACAAATAGACATATACCCAAAAAATAAGAAAGTTTACAGATATGTACTGTTTTAAAAAGAAAAATACATATTCTCTCTTTTTCTCCAATGCACACTCCAATATGTAATTAATTTCATTACAATAATATCAAATATTATTGTAATCTTTAACGTTCTCTCGTTAGATATTATATGGAAGAAATATTAATTGAAACTGATAAAACTTTACTACTTTAAAGCGTATAAAAACTTGATAAAGAAATGGTTAATAAATTTTTGATTAATAAATGTTTATTTATTAATAATGCAAACTAAAAAGTTGGTCAATGATAAATATTAAACTTTATAAATTAGTAATAAGTTTATAGGTTGTGTAATTTAAATTTATAACATTTTTTTAATTTTATAAATATGCAACTTTTTATAAATGTACCTCATATACACACATATAACATATATAAAAGTATTTACATAAATAATTTCAATGTTTTAAAGGTCGGAATTTTAAACAAACGCATTTAAAATATTATGAAAAATTTGAATGATATAAATTAAATATGATGACTCACCATATTTTGAGATGTACGATTCACTATTATGTAATGAGACAAATTTACTTTGAAATGGTATAAAATAAAAGTTCATTTAACACCTGAATCCATGTAGCACTAGCTATGCTTGATTAAATCGTCTGCTTCGACGAGAAGAACTGGAAAATAATGGACGTGGTTTATACAAGTCATCGCTTGAATATCGTTGACTGCTCCTATTGCGGCTGCAATTTCAAGGAACAATAACGTTAGATTAACTGTAAGTCTCCTTAAGTAGTATTCAAGAAAATATTTATTTAATATGATACATTTTCAATATGTGCATCTAGAGAACAGAATACAGAGCATATAATTTTATTTTCACAGTAACAAACAAAAAGAGCGAAAGAACAAAAATATATATATATATATATACGAAAATTTCGCACTATATAAAAATCTCGAGAACATATAAGACGTACCTTTTTTCTTCTTTGATCACATTAGACGATGTTTTTTCGCTTGTTGCGGACACATCGCTATCCGGGCTCAGAGGCATGACGAAATTCTCGCCATTCGAGACTCCCTGCGGATTACATAAATTCGAAAATCTCGGTTTTTTATTGAATCTTCTTTTTTTGACATTGTGTACGGTATCTTCATTGAGCGACAATGTCCGTTTATGATCCTCATTATTATTATCCGAATTATTTACCAGTATGTCGGATAAGGGACTGGATGAACGCTTGCGCAATTTTGGCAATGGTGGTGCAGCCATGGATTTTGGTACCGAGAGAACTACCTTGCCACCTAGACTCTCTATTATGTCTTCTAGAGACGAATTCTCCAACAATTCTAGAGATTCTAAGAAACTCGAGAATCTTTCCGATCTCTTATTGTCAGTCTTAAAGTAATAGCAATCTTCTCCATCTTCTCTATCCTCGCTGATGACGGAGGATGAGGACTTAGTTTCTTGACAATTGCTATGTATATCTATCGTCGTATCGATTGGTGATGTACACATTTCTACCTGCTTCTCATCCTCCGGTTCTTCGATGTCGTCTCTTATCTCTGTCCGATTGTCAATCTGCGCTTCATTATCGTTCTGCATTTCCGTTTCATTATAATTCCATACTTCCGCATCCTTCTCCATCGATTGTTCTGCACTTCTGTTCTCGCTATTATCCACAGATTCAGATTTTGCCGATACTGTGAGTTCTCTCTGTTCATGTGAAATATATGTTTTCTCTATTTGCGAAGAACATTTTTCTGCATCAATATTTGGTGTTTTGTTATTAGTGTCTTTTGCAACATCATGTCCCTCCTTAGATGCTGTTTTATCTTCTACATGTGAATCATCAAGCTGCGTAGTTTTCTCGTCAGTTTTTGAATTCTGTATCGTTTCTTCTGATACATTCGATACTATTTCACTTAGGGATTGCTTTATACACAACTCCATATTGGATAACTTGGATGACTTGGATTGTCTATTTAAGAAATCATTTGTACAAGATTCTGTTCCTAGCATTATTATCGATCTTTCGTCTAATGTTAAGTTGGTTTCATGCTTCTCGGGATAAGGTTCCTCGTATTCCTCGTCAGGAATCTCTATAATCTGAACACGCTCGTCGTCTGGCATGTCTTCGAGATTGTCAACATCTTTTGCTGTACTCAATTGACTTGTTTGTTCCGTTTCGTACGTAATTTTCTTCTCTCCTTTCTTATCCTCCTTAAGTTTCTCCTTTTCCATCAGCTTTCTGATTTTCATAAGTCTTTTAGCTTCGTGTATATTTTTTGCGAATTTTGGCTTTCTGATTTTCACATCGTCAGAAGTTGACTCGTCCTCTTTAATTACAATCCTCTTAGATAACAATCTCTTTTTTAATGGTAAATTTGTGTCACACGAATCTGCTTCTTCCTCGTGTTTGTCATACGTTTCATTTATATTATCAGGTTCCAATTTTAGAGTCTTATCATCTATCAAATTGATTTTATGAGATAATTTAGAGTTTGGTTGTTGCAATGAGTCATTCATTTGCGTTTCTTCAATACTATCTGACGTTTCGCTACCAGAATTGCTAACGTGATTACTTTCCTTCAAACTTGACGTACCTGATTTGGTGCTTGTCATATTAGAATTTGTATTGTTGGATGGCGAGGTCTTGCTATTCGAGCCATTCGAGCCATCTCTGTCAGTGGAACGTCGATCATTAGAGCTTTTGCGTAAGCTTGAATGATCATCCTTTGTCTTTGATTTTTTATCCTCTCGACGTTTTTTATCCTTTGACGGACTATCGTTTTTCGAGTCTCTCTTACCATCTGATTTCTCATTGCGATCTGAACTTTTGCTATGTTGCAAATAACTTTTCGCATCCTTCTTACCATTTGTCTTTTCACTGCTCGCTTTGCCATCCTTTTTTACATCCACTTTTCCGCCTTTATCTTCTTTCTCACTTTTCGAAACTTTTTTTGGATCAGACTTGTCCGATAGATCTGTCTTGCTACTGTAGTGACTCTTACCTTTATTATCTTTCGACAATCGTTTTTCATCTCGTTTTGCTTTATCTTTCGAGTCTGATCTTTTATCTTTTCCATCTACAATTTTTTCTGACGCCTTGCTGTTTCTACTTTCGTGATAAGTTACAGGGATATTTTTCGACGACGATGACGACGATGAGCTTCTATGCTCTTTTCTGCTTGATTTTTTGTCTTTAAGAGAATCCTTCTTTTCTTTAGTTTCTTTAGTAAGTTTAACATCTTTGTCTTTATTTAATTTTTCTTTCTCTGTCAATTCCTTCTTCTCTCGAAGCTCTCTGATTTTCTCTTTATAGATATCTTTTAAATCTTTCGCTTCTTTATTGATGTTATCTTTTTTGTCTGCTTCCTTGAGTTTCTCATCTTTAATTTTGTTGGCGTTATCTTTCAAAGATTCTGAAATATCTTTAGCTTTGTCTGAATTTTCTTTCACCTGATCAATTTTATCTTTAGATTTACTCTTATTATGTTTATCGTACTTTTCACTACTGTGACTACGTGATTTCTTTCTTTCATTACTTCTGTCTTTATAATATTTTACATCCTTACTGCTGATCTTTTCTTTTGTGCTTTTTGATTTGGATTCGCTATCTTTACTCTTTTCCTTGGAACTTTTATCATATTTATCTTTCATACCACTATCTGTAGCATCACGAGAATTTTCTTTAGAAGATATACTTTTAGTGCTTTTAAAATCTTTTGTATCTTTATAATCTTGTGCATCTTTATTTTTAGCAAAGTCAAAATTGCTTTTGGTCATTTTGTTCTTAGACGAATCAAACTCCCTAATTGCTTTAAAATTATCTTTACTATTTTTAACTTCATATTTGTCCTTTGTTACATCATCTTTCAATGCATCATGTACTGGTGTTAAACCATGGTTGGAAGACCCAAAATCTGTTACTATCGATAATCGAGAATCTGAGGAAACCTTGCTAAGTTGAGAATCTTGATTGCTACAATCAAAGTTATCTCGCGATAATTCGTTCGAAAAATCTGGACTTCTTGATCTGTGACTCGTTAATTCTGATATTCCTGATAAATGTGAGTCGTTGGAAATGTTGGATTCATTCAAATTCATAATATCTATTGGTTCAAATGTTGGACTAACCTCTTCGTCCTCGTCTTCCATTTTGTCATCCGATTTTCCAGATGTGTTTAAATTCAGGTTACTACCAGTTTTATTTAAAGCTTTACAAGATTCATCCAATGTTTTCTCTTCTGAGGAGATATGTCCATTTTCAGGGCTAGTTTTATTTTTATCTCTGTATATCTCCTCACCTTGGAACTTTTGTTCATTTGTTTTATCAAATTGTTTTCCCTCAACATCATTCACATCGCTTGCATCTATCGATTCGAGGGATACATCCTTCAAACTGTTCTTATCAGACTCTGGTGAGACTGGATCCAAATCTTTAGGTAATAAATCTTTAAGACCGCAAGCACCATTTTTCTCTTTCACCTTTGGTCTTTCTATACCCAGAAATTTATATACTACATCTTCTATTTGTGACATAAAAACTGCATAGACTTTGGGATTTACGACTTGATCTACTATCCGTTCTACACCAGCATCGAGATATGGTGCATCGTGTATATGTTTGCGCAAAGTTTCTCGGAGCTGATTCTTGTTCAAGTCTGGTTTCCATACTTGTTTAGTAAGAAAAGAGTTTACGGAACCTTCAACTCTTGTCCTCAGATTTTGATACGCTGGCTGAAATCACATATACCATCGTATATTACACTACACGAATGTTCTTTGTTTGAGAATAAAATATTTGTCAATAATTAACATTATTTTACAGATATCATGTTTCAATATTAAATTACGTCTAACTCCTGCATCGAAGAAATTACGCGAATGGGTCAAATTTGTTACAAAACTCATCATTACACCAAGTATTGTTTTACCTTTGTATCAACATCGGCGATGCATTCTTTGCGAAACTGATCAAAAATGCCTTGAGACTTAACTTCGCCCACTATATGATCGATCAATCGCGGGTCACCGGCTAGCAAAGTATTGGATAAACCTAATTCCATATCGACTAACGATGATCGACCAGAATCAGATATTTCGTTCGTCACAAAATAGGAGAAGCAATCATTTTCACTGATTAACGCTGGCAGAATCACCTCATCAGGCAATAGATACAGTACGCATCGCGGCCATATCTTTTCACGCCTTCTCACATTGCGTGCGCATGCGCAGAATTTACATTTTGCACTCGTTTGTTTACGACCTCGGCTGCGGTCAAGGAGACGTCGAAGATGCTTTGGAGCGTTTGATTGACCAATCAGGATAAAAGGGATAAGATTTCTTTAACCTGATTGGTCAATCAAACGCTTCAAATCTTTAGGCTGCGTTCGTTTTGACAGTTTTAGCGCTGAAAGCATCGCTCTATCTTCGTTTGATATTCGATGTGCAATAAAGACAGAATGATGCTCACAGCGCGTACTTTCCAATTCATGAAGCGGCCTTTTCATTGACGCTAAAAAGTAGCGTCAACCATTGGTTGAACAAAGAAGTAAGTAGTTGCTTCATTGTTCAACCAATGGTTGACGCTATTTTTTAGCGTCAATGAAATTGCACCTTGATGCGCATGTACAGAAAATGTATAATATGCGTAACATGAACTATACATTTTCTGTCACTTCATGCGCATCATACGTGAATCGGGAAGTACCTCGTAGCTCTCGTTACATTTGTCGAACGTTCTCATTGGCCAATATTGTAGGAAATTTTTGAAACCCTAAAAATTCCCTCTATACGATAACCATTCAATACATCTCGTAAACTGTCGTGTGCAAATGTAAGGCCCGTTCTACAATGGCCGTATTCCGAAATTACTGCCAGTTTACTGCCAGCACTGAAAACATATAATATACGTAACGTGCACTATAGAATTTGCAGTACTGGCAGTAATTTCGAAACACGGCCAATGAGTCGTAAGTCGTAGGCAAATTGACCAATCATGGTTAATTATTTTTAAAATAATCAATCATGATTGGTTAATTTGTCTACGACTTACGACTTACGGCTCATTGTAGAACGGGCCTAAAGGCCATTCTACAATGGCCATAGCATAAGCTTTGAGCATAAAGTTGTAAGGCGTAAGATTTAAAAAATTGACCAATCACAGTCGAGTATTCTTTTAATACTTGACTGTGATTGGTCAATTTCTTGAGTACTTCTCTCTCCCTACAGCGGGCGCTCGCCTGTCTATCGCAATGCTCAGTCCAGTATATATGTCAATGGTCGTAGGCAAATTGACCAACCATAGTCGATTATTTCAAAAATAATCAATGATTGGTCAATTTGCTTACAACTTACGACTTGCGACGTTACGATACGACCAATGTAGATCCGGCTTATGATTTGTGTGTACGACGCGAAAGAATGAGAGCATTCGCTGGCGGTAAATAAAAACATGTTTCACAAAGCATGCGCGAGTTTTTCATTAAACAGCAAGATCTAATATTTAAGGTATATATATATTTTTATATATTAATAAAGATTTGCGTATCTTTATACGTCTAATTTTTTTTCGTTGAATTTTTTTGTTAAATCTTTCTAGGTAAAAGAAGGCGAGAGAAACGAATTCAGTCTGAAGTCTGAAGTCTTTAATTTCGTTTAGTATGCTGGTTCAAATGCGACATGTGTGTAACATAACACTTCGAGAGTTTAATGGATGTGCGTAGTGACGTAATTTATAAAAAAACTTATTGAAAAAGTTCATCAGAATTAAATTGCAAACGAGAAAAAGTTGTCTAATCATCTGAAAAGGTGAGTTATTATTGTTATTATGTTTAATCACGTTTAACCGCGTTGTTAGGTTATGCCAATATTATCTCAGGATGCTCATATATAATTATTGTTTTCTTAATATTTATCGCTTTTATAGTTTTATATCTTACTATGATATATTTTATATTTTAAATTTACAATTTTAAATATAAAAATTTTATAATATTATGGAAAAAATAAAATTTGGAAGCAAGTTTTTCCTTTATAAGAGGATATGGATAGACTAGAGTGTTATAGTACATGAGAATTTATAAGTTATTTTCTATTGTTAAGGATAGGACATATGTTAGTATATTAATAGTATTGTAGGCATAAATAAAAAATATAAAATATAAATATTAATATAAAAAAGTTTTCTTAAGATGTTAGTTTTAACAACTTTATATATATATATATACTACAATATATATACTTATATATACATATAAATATACATAGTTTGTATATTTGTATAAATGTGTGTGTTTGTGTTACACATGTATATATATATATATGAACATAATAACTAATATGAGAGAAAGAATAATAACTCTCTATAATTACTATCATTACTCACATTATATTTACAAACAAACATATCATTGGAGAATATTATGGATTATTTTTAATGGACATTTTATAGAATAGAAATAAGAAAATATAAGTAAATGTTTTCTTTTTATGATTTATCATTTTAAACAAATTTTTTTCTGTCATTATTTAAAACTGATTACGTTTGATATTTCCCTTAAAACACTTACACTGTACCATAATGCATATATATGTAATCAGCATATGTATATGTATGTTTTTATATCACACGACAAAAAACTTAGTTATAGATACACAAATACAATGCATATAAGTATATTCATTACAAAAATATGATTTTACAAATATCATTTAAAGCATTTTTATAACTTTTGTTCTTAAAAAATGTATATTTTAAAGCTAATATATTTTATAAAATTTTTGAAAAGTTGAAGTGCATGATCATTAAAATTATTGTTTAAAAACTTTTCTCATATCTTATAATTTGAAGGATATTTGCATAATAATGAATATATAATATTACATGAATTATTTTGTTTAATGTAATTGAACACTTAAAAAAAATGTCTTATTTTAAATGGTTCTAAAACATATTCAAATAAAAATCAAAGAATACTTACATATGCTTTCTTGTAAATGTAATTAATAAATAATTATGCATATTATCTAGACCCTCTAACAAAAATATTAAAATACTAATAAGTAATCTTCAAATTATAAGTTATTGGAAATGTAAAAGTTTTTTGATGAATTAAGTTTTATTTATATAGATTTGCATAGAATATAATATATTTGGATACAATATGAAAAAAAGTATATATATATATATATATATATATATATATATATATGTATATGTAGTATAAATCTCATATTTAATAATAGAATGAAAAAAATTATACATATGATTTGGATACAATATGAAAAAAAGTATATATATATGTATATGTAGTATAAATCTCATATTTAATAATAGAATGAAAAAAATTATACATACACACAAATAATTATTAAAAATTTTATAATTTTGCATTCCAAAACATATATAATACTATATATATTTATGGATATTTAAGTTACGGATACTTAATAAGTATTAATATTATATTTTTGGAATGCTAAATTATAAACTTTTTTTATAGGAATTCTAAAATTATAGAATTTGTACTAAGTACTTTGCAAAATCCATATCAAAATTTCCAAAAAATTTTTAATATTCGAAAAAATGATGATTTTCGTATAGAACGATTTACCAGTGAAAATAGTGGCGACCTGATACTCGGAGATCGGAGTTCTGTGTCGCGAGTCGTAAATTAATCCTATTGAAAGCCATTAGACGTTTTATTACGGTCCGTATTGTACGTCAATTTGCAAATGTACATTAAAATCATCGTAGCTCGACTGGGTGTCGAGGAAAGCAACCGTATCTGTGATTCGTGCGAATTTATTAAATCGTAAATATATTAAATAAATGTCAATATATACTATATGTAAGAATATTAATGTCTACACACACACACACACACACACACACACACACACACACACACACATATATATATATATATATATATACATATATAAAGAAATAAAAGTTAAAAAATTTGTAACTATATTTTTGCGTTTTCGTGTTCTCGCGATGATAAACGGCATTGTTGATAAGAGTAATAATAAAGAGCATATTTCTGGCGCTGTTCAAATGTTCGTGTTCTCCGATTGGTTGTGTCCGAGTAACGCGATGCTATCTCACTTAAATTACATAAAACGTGTCCGCTAAATACATACATCAAACTTATATACATCAAGCGTGTTATTGTCATTGTTCATCGTTTATTTTTTATATTATATTTTTTATTTTAATATATTTTCACTTCTTATCTAAACTCAAAATAAATAATAAATAAATAAATATATATATATATATATATATATATATATATATATATATAAATTTTAAATCAGTCTTTAAATATATATACTTGCCAAGCAAAAATTATGCTTATCAAGATTTCTATAATCTTGAAAGTCGTTCATCTCTTCATGCACTTCACTTTCAAAGAAAAGGCTATACGATTACTCTTCGTAATTTAAACATTTTCATTTTAAAATTTGGCTTCTAATGATCGATTTGACGACCGTCAAAGTTTCTCAATAAATTTCTCGCTTTTAATGTGTTTTTGATTTTTACCAACCTGATGGTTTTTGCCTAATTGCATCGCGTGAAAGTGTATGACGTTAATACAATTTTGATTTTGATTGAAGTTTGAAATTAATCACGTATGTGAAAGTCGTTGGTTTTCCGGGGTCTTTGCAAACAACGAAATGAATAGAGAAAGTTTTATGGATCGAAGCATATCTTTTCATTTCAGAATTGTTGTCAATCAACGAAATTAAATGTATCGAGATAAAAAATGCGGTAAATACACGCATGGATAATGATTGAAATTATGAATGCGAAAGCGTAGAGTGTAAAGGGAGAATAATTCAATTTTAATTTTATGAATTTTTCAACAAATCACAGAGTAAATTTTATTTATAACGATTGATATGCGATGTTCAAGCGAGTAGAATTTAAAAAAAATCTCTTTAGAATGTGTAACATGCTAATTAAAATGAGTCACTTAAATAAAAACTTCATTCGAATTCTTATGCGTAGTACATTCTATTATTATTTTGTAATTTTCAAGGACGTCTATATAGATACTGAGACCGCATCAGCAAAGTGCAGAAGAGTGACTCTTCATTTTTTTGACCACACAATGACAGTTCTTATTGCTCGGTGACAGTAATCAATTCTGAACCGTTTCTTCGTGAGAAAAACAAGTAAAAGATATAGAATACATTTCGTTTGTATGGAATTGCATC